TTCTCCCCCGTGGTCTGCGTCGCGGAGTGGATGCTGGTCGCAGCCCTTGCTGAGTCGCGGTTGCCATCGTCGACGGCGTGGCCCTCGTTGAGATACTGGGCGTTGTCGACGGCGCGGTCGCGGTTGTTGTCGTTGTCGCAACGGTTGTTGTCGACGGCGTGGTCGGCGTTGATGTCACTGCGACGGCTGGGGTCGTCAAGTTGCGCGGGCCGCGCACAGGCGCGCAACAGCGCGCGGCGCAGATGTGGTCGCTGGACGCGGCCGCGCATCGGCAGCGCGCTGGCGTGGCCAAACATGGTAGGTCGCCACAGTGGAGCACGTTGGCGGCCCGACCAGGGCGCCAGCGCTCCTCTATCGGCAGGAGCGCGCGGGCACGCTGCGCGCCCACGCCGTGGCGGCACGGCCACGCAGCGCTCATCACACGACCCCGACGCGGGCTCAACTGCACGCAGGGCGCGCGACATGCTCAACTCGCCGGCTCGGCGCATGAATTTGGGCAGAAAATCGAAATTTGAAGTGAGCACCACTTGGAACGCGCACCACAGCGCGACGAAAGGCCCCGCGCCCCCTCGGGCCATGCTGCTCGAACGTCGGCACCGAGAATGGCGTCGGCATGTGCCCGCACGCGCGACGCGCCGCGGGTTCGCCTGGACAGCTGAACTTGCAGCCGGCCGCAGCAGCGGCAGTGCCGCACACGCGACGCGATGGCGGCCAGTGGGCGCCCGGGGTCCCACTCGAGACCTCGCGGTACCTACGCGGTTGGCGGCGTCGCAGTCGAGGTTGCCGGCGCGGCCCTGCAGTGCGTCTCGCACATCTCGCCGGCCTCGAACTCGCGCACGGAAGCCGAGGATGTCCCGCACATGGTCGCTACGCGTGAAATTTCCGCCAGCAGAAAATGCACCTGGAAAAACTATATTGCCATGACAGTATCACTGAGGCCACGCGCGCGACGCGCGCGCGCACGCGGGCTGTCGTGCCATCGTGATAACGACAGCTGGCACAGCACGCTTCCCTGACCTAGACTGGGCGCCAGATGTTCGCGACATCTGTTTTGCAAGTCTCGCTGCGCTCCCCAACCGACGACAACTGACGGACATACACATGGTACCCCCAAAAGCGGGATCGAGCAATCGTGGTACTTCGCAGGACATGGAAGCAAGCAGTCGCCGCACCCACAAGGAGACGGCAGCGACAAGTCGCAGTCACGTTATCCCCCAAGGAATGCGAGCGAGCGGCCACAGCGTCTCCAAAGAAGGTGGAGAGAGTGGTCACAGCGCCCCACAAGAGATGGGAGTGCGTCGGGGCGCACGGGCGAACGGCGCGCCCCTCCTTGCTCACCAGTGGTAGACTGGAGACGGGTGGTCCAGATCGCGTGCTCATGTGGCCACAACTTATTAGTCATGCTGCGGTTGGGCGAATCAGCACCGCGCGCCAAGGCAGTCATACCTGGCGGCCTTCAGCGCCCGGTTCGGTCGCCCCTCGCCGGCTGCTCGCACAGATCGGGCCGGAACTGCTCATCCCCGCGAGCAACGGTCGCAACTGGGCCGACTCTCTCAGGCTCGCGACGGGCGCTGGGTCTCGTCGAGCGCGCGAGCGCAGGCGCGTAAACAATGGCGCCTAGCTACCACGCCCACACATTCGCGCGTCAACTGCGCGAGCAGCCACTCGTCCGGAGCGCTGGCTGGGTCGCAACGGACAGGCCAGCGCGCCGACAATTCACGCAGCTCGGGCGCACAGTCGCGCCAGTGGCCTGGCGCGAACGCGCACGCTATGGAAGCGTTTCGGTTGACGGTTGCGGTCTTACCTTGAACGCTCCGTCTGGCTTGCAAATACTCGTCGACGTACACCGCGCAGCACCAGAGGTCGCGGCACAAGTCGCGCTTGTCGTAGCCACGATCGTTGTCGCGGTAGATATCGCGGTCCGCGCGCGCGTCTTCGATCCACCCTCAACGCACTCGCCTCAATGACACAGGTCGCGCACTGCCAGTGGAATGTGCTGGGCTGCGCGTAGAAGCCTGAGGCTGCGCCGCACGATGGCACGAACCCCTCGCGGTGGAGTAGCCTCTGGCGGCAGCTCTCAACCAGGTCGAGCTGGAAACCCGTAGAAACCCACGCTGAATGACAACACTGGCAGCAGCTCCCAAGCAAGAGCCTGCCAGGGGGCAGCGCCGACTGGTGGCGCGAGCCCTACGGCGGCGCGGCCGCCTGCAGCGGCTTCCAGGCAGGGCGCGCCATGGGCCCAGGCGCCAAGCGGGGCGCGCCAGAAGTCCGGCACGAACCGCGGACCTGTTCGCCCGACTCACACAGGCCACGAACAACTGGCGAGCCGACGCGGGCACAACTGGCCCTTCTCACTGCCAGCGCCACGAGCACGCAGCAGACCGCACTCAGCGCAGGCGCGAAAAGCGCAGCGCAGACCGCCGCCATTCAGCAGCCAAGCGCACGCGCGCACGCAGGACCACAGTGCATGCAGTGCCCTCGTCGAAAAGTTCTGGCTAGCTCGGCGGCGAGAGACGGTCGCGGCGCATGAGCGTCCACATCAACATATGTACATTGTGTTTTCAGTAGCCAAACCCACCTGTGAGACACCGCAAGTATCCCAAATTTGTCTCCGTCGCGAAAAGTGTCCAATTCGTTGCTGATCCCAAAATACGTTAGTGCTCCAACTCATTGTCAGACTCCACTGGGACGAGTTCGCACACCCTACAGCACGGCTGAAAGCACGCACCGACGCGGCCGAACCCTCCAGCGTGACACAGCACAGCCCTTGCCAGCTCATGATGAATATCCGACGCACGGAAATGGAGCCAAGCTTACCCGGCGACAATCAGCGCATTGCCATGGAACCTGCCCGCTGCCTTGCGGCGGCGCTTCGACATAAGATCCGGGTAGTTCGACCAGCATATGAGACTCGTGGGAAGACGAAGCGGGGTCATTCTGGCGATTGTTTGCTGCGCTGGCCCGCAGACTCGGCCCCAGGTCCAATTACCAGCGCGGACGAGCGAACTGTTGCGCTGAACACAACTGGGCCGTGATCTGACAAATCTGCAGACGGGTCAGACGTGGAAACACGCTCATCTTGACATTGACGACACGCGTGGCTATCTGGCCGATGAACTCATTGCGGCGCGGCCCTATCGTCTCCTGCTTCAGGCGCAGGGAGGAAAGAGAGAAGGCTTTGTGGTAACACTCTCAACAAGGACAAGCCGTTGCGCCAGTGCGCGCGCGCGCAGTGGGGCAATCCACCCCTCCTGCAACCGCAAAGCGCACTGGGTCGCAAGACGGCGGCATCTACGCTACAACCGCGGCGTGCTACTTGCGGCACTGCTAAGGATGGCAGCAGCCGCGGGTCGCACAGCGCGCGGTGCAACGTGCCATTGACACCGCGCGGTTGTGCGTGCGTGCGCATGCGCGTCCACCGAGAGTTGCGGCTGCCGCACGGCCCGCCGAACGCACGCGCCAAGACGGTCCTGCTGGACAGACCTGTTGGCTGCGACTCGTCCATGATGATGAACACGTCGACGTTTTCCGCTGTGTGGTAAATGAAGTCGTGGACGGCGCAATGCGGCTCTGCTGTTTCCTGGCAGCCGATCCTGCGCATGTTGTCGTAGTAGACGTGACCGTGAATACGCGGTGGTGGCGTTGGTTTTGAGCAGTCGGTGGCCTGACCCAAGGACTGGAACATCCTGTCAGTAGGGCGCATCTGGACAAATGGGCAACAACTCCGTGCCTTTTCCGGACGCTAGTCCAGAAGCGCTCTGAGCCGCTGTTCGTATCAGTAGGTATGCTGCACCGCACTGGGATCGCACTGACAACTGCGGACGAGAACTGCCGCGTACAGCACCAAGCGCGCTGCACTTAACTGGAGGTCACAACGGCGGCGTTCTGTAGCGCCTCTCTTGCTTCGGTGACTGCAAGTGGAGGCTACGGTTGCCGGTGGGCGTGTCGGTTGCAACACAGTAGGCATCCAGCCAGCAGCCGCCTCTGTCGGAGGTATCAAGATGGAGGGAATGTCTGGGGAGTCCGAGAAAAGGAAGGCTGAGCAGAGGCAAAGTTGAGCGGATCTGTGCGACTCGCGTGGCGGAGTTACCTCACTCTTCCTGTCCCCTTCCGCACACCCTCCTCATTTTTGCCACCTCGTCCTCACTGTCCACCTCGTCCTCTGCCTTGCGTCATCCTCCTCGTTCTCGGGTTTGCTGTGTTTTCTGCGTCCTCTGAGTTGCTGTGTCCCCCTCGTCCTCCAGCCTGTCCAGCGGCAGCAGGTGCTCCGCGGTACGCGGCGTAGCGGAAGAGAACACAGAATGCGCAGTAAGCCCTTCGATGGGCGTCCGTGCAACTTGCGGTGCACAGCCGCGGGCACACCAGCGCCGGCGTGCACGCGCAGTCTGTCCGACCCGAGCTGAACGCAAATGTGGGCGCCCGCACTGTTGCAGGGCGCTGTGGCTCGGTGCACGGTCGCACTCTGCGCGCCTGTCCACCGCATCAAGCCGTTTGGGGGTCCCCGAGGATGGAAGGGGGCGTTCAAACGCACGAACGCACGAACAAACTCCAAAGTCGCGCGCGCGCTTCGCCAGGGAGCCCACCTGTGCCCGTCAGGGCATGGCGCGGGGCCGTAGCCTCGAACAGGTGGGCCCGTCGCTTCGGCGAAGCGCGCCTGCCAAGAAGCGACTCGCTTGACCTCGCCCGGCAAGGGGGCCGTGACTCGGAAGGGTAGGTGGAAGAAGGAGAGGAGGTCGAACCGAGGCGAGAAGCCATGCGCCTCAAGGCGTCCAGGCCAAGACCGACAGCATCGCCTACACGATGAGGTGGAGCAGGTGGGGGGAGGACGGAGAAAAAAACGATTCAGAGAAACGAGTACGGATTCGCATATCAGAAGGTCTTGCAAGCGGGAGGCGGATAAGAAAGGGCAGCAAAAAAAAATCGTTTCCAGCTGGCCCAGTAACAGGTGTTGCATGCTCGCTTCTCCCTGTCCATGTTCCCCTGAAACGCCACCATCGGACCGGCGTCACGAGGGTGACTTTCCAGCCGAGGCCATCGATGAGCGCTCTGCACAGGGTGAGGTACCGCTTGGAGACACCTGCCCTGCCCCTTCATCATCATCATCACATGCCTCCTCCTGTTCCTCCGCCTACGCACTCCCCTGGGCAGGACGGAAGAATGAAGCAAAGGACAAACAGGAAAAAGCAAGAGTGGACGAGGAAGTTGGAGCAGTGCCGATAAAAATAAGCAAAAGTACTGCGGGAAAGAGCGGCGCTGGGCCCTCATGGGCGGTCTGGGCCGACGACAAGGGGAGGGAGCTTGTTCCGACGGCGTAGACTCCGCTTTGAATGTCGAAATGGTATGAAAGCTCTGCAGCAGAATTCATCCACGCTAAGCATTCCCTGATCATCATCACTTTGATCAGGCCCTCATCGTCACTATCACCATCATCACCACCAGCAGCATCGCCATCGCAGCAACCACCAACACCATCATCATCATCATCATCATCATCATCATCAGCAGCAGCAGCATCATCATCGTCATCATCATCATCATCATCATCATCATCATCATCATCATCATCATCAGCAGCAGCAGCAGCATCAGCATCAGCATCAGCATCATCATCATCATCATCATAATCATCATAATCGTCATCATCATCATACTAATCAGCGTCATCATCATTGTAATCAGCATCATCATCAGCAGCATCAGCAATATCATCATCAGCATAATCGTCATCATCACATTCATCATCATAATCATCATCATCATCATCCTCATCATCATCATCATCAGCAGCAGCAGCATCACTATATTCATCATATTCATCATCGTCATCATCCTCATCATCCTCATCAGCACCCTCATCAGCATCAGTATCATCATCGTCTGAATTTGCAGCACCAGCATCAGCATCAGCATCATCATCAGCATCAGTACCATCATCATCATCAGCAGCAGCAGCGGCATCATCAGCATAATCTTCATCATCATCAGTAGCAGCATCGTCGTCCTTATCATCATCACAATCCTCGGCATTATCATTACTGTCGTTACCATCACGTCTACCCATCATCAGCAGCATCACCATCATCATCGTTATCATTGTCGTCGTCATCAGCATCATCCTCATCATCAGCATCATCATATCGTCATCATCACTATCTTCAGCATCATCAGCATTATCAGCATAATCATCAGCATCATCATCGTCATCATCATCAGCATCGTCATCATCATCATCATCATCAGCAGCAGCAGCAGCAGCATCACCATCAGCATCATCATTCTCAGCATCGTCGTAGTCGTCATCTGCAGCCAAGTGTATTGAAGCTGTCCGCTGCCCTGCGGCTCGTGCAACCTTCTGGTCCCGATCGTGCGGCATCCCTTCTGCGGCGCGAGTAGTTGGATTGGTGGAAGGGCGCCTACGCCAGAGGGCGCAAAGGCTTGGGATAGCTGGGGGGAGGGATCCTCTTTGGCGCGGCGCGCTGCGCCGGCAGGCTGAGAATCAGGGGGGTCCCACCGCCGTTATCGCATAAACGTCTGCTGGGTGACCCTCCCAATCTCGCAAACGAATGCGTCGCACTTCGTGGTGATCCTGATGCTTATCGGTTCTGTGTTCGAAATCATAACCGTCGCGAGTAGCCAGTAACCCCGCAGCCCGTCTGGCAACTGAACACTGGCGGAGGCCATCATCCCTGCGTTGCCGACATGCTCGTCAGCGCGGCCACAGAATCGCACCAGCCCTCTGGGCGTGAGTGGTTTAGTGGGTTTCCTCTTCCATCCTCCCTTTTCCCCGTCGAGGATGGGTTGATCCCTCCCCCTGCCCCCTCCCCTGGACCTGGACGGGGCACCCCGCGACCCATTGGAGCGTCCAAGATGGCATCGGAGAGAAGGCACAAATCACTGGTGTTGCCCAGGCTTGGGGCCCATTTTGGCCTTGTGGGTGGGGGGGTTCTGATTTGGTACCCCCTATTCTGCCAAGACGGTCCCCAGATGGCCCCCGGCAATCCCAAGAATTGCCCAACAGAGCCCAAAGAGACGCCCAGGAGGCCCCAAGAAGCCCCCAAAAGGCTCCCAAGAGACCCCCCCAAGAGGCTCCTCAGGGCACCCTAGACGTTCCAAGAGGCCCCCGGGACCGCCAAGAGTCCCCCGAAAGTACCCTAACAAGCTGTCAAGAGGCATCCGGAAAGACTCCGAGGAGGCATCCAAAAGGCATCTGGCCATTTTGTTGACCTTCCCCCCCTCCTCGTGCACTTTTTCCTCCTCCTCCTCCTCCTGTTCCTCCTCCTCCTCCTTTTTCTTCTTATTATTATCTTCTTCTTCTTCTTATTATTAGTATTACTCTTATTATTATTTTATCTCATTATTATTATTATAATTCGTATTATTATTCTTATTCTTATTATTAGTATTCCTATTATTATTATGTGTGTTTTCTTATTAGTCTTGTTATTAGTCTGATTGTTCTTATTATTAGTCTTATTATTATTATGCTTCTTCTTATTCTTCTTATTATTAGTACTCTTCTTCTTCTTATTATTATTATTATTCTTCTTCTTCGTATTATTATTATTCTTATTAATCTTATTAGTATTCTTATTATACTTATTGTTCGTCTTCTTCTTCGTATTATTATAATTATTACTATTATTACTACCAGTATTAGTACTAGTCTTAGTCTTCTTATTATTCGTATTATTAGTCTGATTATTCTTATTATTCTTAGTATTATTATTCTTGTTATGTTTATTATTATTCTTCTTATTCTTATTATGATTATTAGTATTATTAGTATTACTATTAATAGTATTATTAGTCGTCTTATTATTTTTATTATTCTTATTATTATACTTATTATTAGTACTACTATTCTTAGTATTATTATTATTAATTAGATTATTATTATTATGATGATTAGTATTATCACTATTGTTATGATTATTATTCTTAGTATTCGTATTAATATTCTTATTATTGTTCGTCTTAGAATTCTTCTTATGAATATTAATATTCTTATTAGTATTCTTAGTATTCTTAGTATTAATATGCTTATTATTTTTATTAGTATTGTTCTTCTTCGTACTCTTCTTCTTATTATTAGTGTTATTCGTAGTAGTATTCTTCTTAGTAGTATTACCCATATTATTCGTATTATTATTCTTAGTAGTATTATTCTTCTTCGTCGTCGTCATCATCATCAATATCATCATCACCACCACCACCACCACCATCATCATCATCATCATCATCATCATCATCACCACCACCACCACCACCATCATCATCATCATCATCATCATCATCATCATCGTCTTCCTCTTCCCCCCCCCCTCCTCCTCCTCCTCCTCCTCCTCCTCCTCCTCCTCCTCCTCCTTCCTCCTCCTCCTCCTCCTCCTCCTCCTCCTCCTCCTCCGCCTCCTCCACTCCTCCTCCTCCTCCTCCTCCTCCTCCTCTCCTCCGCCTCCTCCGCCTCCCCCCCCTCCTCCGTCTCCTCCTCATCCTCTTCCTCCTCCTCCTCCTCCTCCTCCTCCTCCTCCTTTTCCTCCTCCTCCTCCTCCTCCTCCTCCTCCTCCTCCCTCCTCCCCTCCTTCTCCTCCTCGCTCCTCCTCCTCCTCCTGCTCCTCCTCCTCCTCTTCCTCCTCCTCCTCCTCCTCCTCCTCCTCCTCCTCCGCTTCCTCATCCGCTTGTTCTTCCTCCTCCCTCCTCCTTTCTTCCCCTCCCCCTCCCCCTCCGATTCCATCTCTCTCTCTCTCTCTTTCTCATCCCCCTCTCGGGGTATGATGGTTTCCCCTTTATTCCACTGCATGCTCCTTCACATCCCTGGTCAGGGCAACCCGCCTGCGCATAGTTTCTGGATGGTCTGGTCGGGGTTACGCGAAACGCAGAAGGAATTCGATAACCTTCTCATCGATCCGTTTGCCGATCTCGGGCGAAGAGAACCAAGATCTAGAAGCTAACGCGGCCCTGTTACAAATACGAAAAGGCTAGTTTCCACGAAGAGCAAACAACCACGGCGTCACCAGAAAGTGTGCCAACGTGCGTGCTGGAGGCTAGCCGTGCTAGGGTTCCTGGCGGACGCCGCACTGCGAACGGCCACCCTCTGCTGCACGAAATACTGCGCGAATGCAATCGGCGTGGCGCCTGCACGCCGCCACGCACGCCTCAAAGGAACCAGTATCAGACCATCCAATCAATCAGTCAGACAGTCCGGGTGCCGCACGCTGTCGCGCCGTATCTGTGGAAATGACGACTACGATGATGGAGGGATTGATGGAGATGGTAATGATGACGACGCTGATGATGACGATGATGACGATGATGATGATGATGGTGGTGATGGGTAGTGGTCATCACCAGCACTTGTTGAACACATAAGCTGGTATGATGCAAAAACTCAGCCCATCCCCCCCCCTCCAGCACAGGCGGCCCCCCTCGTCGTCGCCGACGGGGTTGACAGGCACAGCCGGCAGTGCGGCCCAGGCACAAAAGAGTGGCATCGGCGATGGTCGCCGCCGACGACCACTCAGGCACAAGCTGCCATCAAGCCTCTACTTCCGCGCTGCTCTGGCCGCGCGAGCCACCTTTCAAAGCGGCCATGTTGGCCACGTGGCGGAGGCTTGCCTGGCTGCTGGCGCCCAGCCTTCCGTGCGTCTCGAAAGCGATGGCCGAGACTCGGCTGCCGTGCCGCGTGAGCTTTTCAAGCTTCCCGTCGGGCGCTGCAACTGAGTCTCTGGATGTTGTTCCATAATCGCCGTCGACGTTCTGGAGGCTGCGCGGGCGCCGCACCGTCACGTCGAAGAAGTACGACACAAAGCCGCCTCGGATAGACAAGACAACGTCCAGGATTGCCACTGCTGCGACCACGTCGCGGGTGACTCGGGAAAGGCTCGGTGCGGCCCTCTGCGTCTGCGAAGCACCCACTCTCGATAGAACACATGCACCATGGTTTCCACGAAAGACCAGTGGAATCGCATGCGTGCGGGCCCAAACTTTCACTCGTGTGGGTGCACACACGGTATGTCTAGCTGGCCGGGGCACAGATCAGCTCTTGGCCCCGCTCGGGGCATCTGGCACACGCCTGCAGGTGGGGCTTCCGCGATATCGAAGCGTAGCTGGACCGCCATGCGGAAGTGGTCATCATCCATGCACTCGGCTGCGTACCGTGGCTGCGCCCACATCTTACCATAATGCAGCCCTCAGCTGGAAAGGAAGGCCTCGCGCATGAAGTCGGTTTGCGTAAATTGGGAAGCGTTTGTCGACCGCGGCGCCTCCAGTGCACGGAGCACGCGGCTGTGATACCAGGAGCCCCGTCCAGACTCTGCCAGAAAAGCCGGCGGGTGGGATGCTGTGAGTTCCCACGCAAGCGCATCAGCGCACCGAGGGCTGGCCTCGTACTCCCCTCGCGGTCGCTGTCGAGGCGACGGCGCCGGTCCAAATGCCGACCTCCACGCTAGCTGCCTGCACAGGGCGGCGGCTGCACGTGCGTGGGCTTCAGCCTGGTCCCATCGTGCCGGGCGCCCCAGCTCCGCGCAGACTGTCTGGACCTTGGCCCGGGTGCTCACCCGGGTGGTCAGGAAAGCCACGGCTGCGCTCAGGGACTAAGGGACCCCACAGCTGCAGCCGCGTCCGCGCCTGGTCATCCACGCCCGCTCCAAACTCAGCCGTAACAACAATGCGAATGGCAGTCTCGAGGCGTTCCAGCAGCGGGCCCACGTCGCTGGCAGTGAGGTTGCATATGCGCCACGCAGTACGTGTTGGCCGAGCAATACGGCAGTGCTGTCGCGGAACTGCTGGGTGTTAGTGAGCAGCAGCTTGATGATCAGGTGCAGAACCTTGCCGTTGACTACTGGTGTCCGGTTCGATGTTGGTTTCGGCCGACTCGATCCGATTTTAGTCGTTTTCATAGTGATCCCGAATGGCCGGACTCTCTTCGATCTCATGTTCCACGCTCACGTAGTATGCATCGGCCGAACCCTCGAGGAAGGTCTGCAGGCGCTGGCCCAGCTGTTTGGCCTTCCTCGTACATTCGGTAGCAGGCCGGAGGGCCAGGTGGGCGACTCCCAAAATCGAGTGGTCGGGCTCGTGCGCGCGGTATGAATGATGATGCTGGTGGTAATGATGACGGTGCTGATGGTCATGATGTTGACGATGGTGGTCCCGATGACGGAGAAGGTGATGGTGATGATGGTATTGGTGATGATGTTGATGGCCATGTTGGAATAATGATGATGGTGGTGGTGATGATGATGTAGATGATGCTGATGATGGTGTTGATGATGTTGATGATGACGATTGTGATGGTGATGGTGATGGCGATGCTGATAATGATGCTCATGGTGATGGTGATAGTGGGGATGGTGTTGATGATGATGCTGATAACGATGAGGATGATGGTGATAGTGCCGATGCTGATGATGATGAGGGTGGTGATGATGATGAGGTGGTGACGACGACGATGATGATGATGGTGTTGATGATGGTGAGAATACGACTTTGATGATGAGTTCAATTCAGTTCAGTTGGGGCGGTATCAACCCAGAAAACTTGCACGCTAAGCTGCCCTGCGCTCGCACACTGCGACGGAGCGACGCGTTGGCCATCCTTGCAGGTCAGTGCACGAAAAACGCACGCGTTCTGACATACCACGCTCTGAAGGGAGAAAGAGGAAGCAAAAAGAGCACCACTGGAATTACCCAATACAAAGAGCACTATTGCAGGTCAGTGCACGAAAAACGCACGCGATCTGACTTACCACGCTCTGAAGGGAGAAGGAGGAAGCAGAGGAGGGAGGGGGAAGAGGCGGAGGCCGAGGAGGGGCAATCACAGATCACAATCAGCGAGGGCACTGCCGTGCTGCCCGGCTGGCACCGTCCTGCCATCGCATGGCCACGAAGCCACGGGCGACGCGAGTGCGAGTGCGGCTCTCGAAACCAGCACTGTTCTGCAGTCGCCGTGCTTCAAGCCACTTGCTGTCTCGAAACTTCAAGAGAATGGCGGCCCATGAACAGCTGTTCCGAGGCCTCTGCAAGTGCGCATCCCAAGCCACTACTCGCTTACAGTGCTTCACACTCCACCTTCCTCTCTGGCCCATGATGGTCGTGGCCTGCCTGTTCCTTCGCCGCACGTACTCGACCAGACCCTCGTGCGCATGCGGACGCAAACGCATAATGGAGCAAACCATCTTCCTCTGAATAGTGTCGATCTGCATTTGCCTCAACGCTGTAGGTGGCCACCGTGTGTCGCGATGCTGCATGGTCGGCAACACGGCTCTGTCCATGAGGGTGTACCGGAGAGCCTCGGGCATCCTGAAAGCGACCTTGGAAGCGCAATTCCCGAAGTAGGCTTTACACATCGATCTTTGATGATGAATATGATTATGGTGATGGTGATGCTGGTGAACGTGGTGATGCGGATGATGACGTTGATGATGGTGATGATGATGGTTAAGATGATGATGGCGATGATGGTGATGCGGATGATGTTGGTGAAGATAACAAGGTTAATGACGAAGGAGAAAATGAAGATGAAGAAGATGATGAGGAGGAGAATGAGGATGATCATGATGTTGATGATGATAATGAGAACGATTGTTTCCTCCCCTCCAGGCGCAAGGTACGAAACCGCGGCGCCAAACACGCGCCGATCCTTTTCGGGGCCGTCTCGCTCCCGCTCCAGCCCGAGCGGAAGGATTTCGAAAATGTGCCCAATACCTCATCGGAGTGTGGCATCAACTCTGGGCGCAAAGGGATCGATGTAATTTCCTCGACACGTGGATAAATTTGTTCTGGGAAGCAACCAAAAAGTGCAAGACGGGAACGGTAAGTTTGACTGTAATGAGGTGCGCAATAGTGCCAGACCCCGTCGGCTCCTCTGCCCCTCTCCCGGAGAGAGGGCTTCCCAGAATCACTCACCTGCGGAGGCTTTATCATTATTCTCATCAGGATGAGGGCGAGGACGGGGCCGATGGGAGAAGAGAACGAGAAAGAGGATGATGCGGAAGAGGGCAAAGGAGCAGAGGGAGGAGGAGGAGGAGGCGGAGAAGAAGGAGGAGGAGGAGGAGGAAGACAGGGAGGAAGAGGACGGAGCGAGCACGCAGCACGAAGAAGGTGAGAGGGAACCCCCCCAAGCACCCCCAAGCCTCCAGCATTCTTCAGCAGCGGAGGGAAGCAGTTGACCACAACGAGCGCCTTCAT